TTTTTTTTTTCAATTCCATTTTTCATTTCCATCTTTCTTTATACTGCAAATCAGACAGATACATTTTTTTTTCAATTCCATTTTTGATATAAAACTTGTAATATGGCACTGTAGATGAAGAGCAAGGTTTAAACAAGGTTCAAACAATAGTTTGGAGAATGCGGTTTATAGAATTCTAACGAATGCGACCAACCGCTTCTCGCGTGTCTGTTTTAAGATCACCACAGACATTATAATTATAATAGGTTGCGGATGTCTTCGTAGAGTTTTGTTTTTTTGCGAACGTAATTGAAGAAATGTAATTTAAATAAAATATTTAATCTATTAAAATATCCTATATAAAATATCCTACTTTGAATACTCTGCACTATAGATTTTTGCATCTTTGAATTTCTTCAAAACGCATAAACGCCCGCAATTACTGTTTTAGCCGCAATTTTACCATTTTTAGCCATTTTGTTCCATAACTATATACTTGTTTCTGCACCTATTCTTGTCGTTGAGATGCACGTTTGTATTAAGGGATTTTTTTATTTATTCGTTAACAAAAAAAAAAAGAAAGAAATCTTCAGTGAAAAGCACTAAACAAGAATAATGCAGTTTGGTAAAAATTCCGAAGAAGCATCCAATAAACGAAAATATACATATATCGACGATATATCTCGGGATTTTTCACAAGTGTAGAAAAGAGTTAAATACTTCGCACTGAAATTTTCACCAAGTTCTATTCCGCAGCATGTAAATAATGTTCGCTTGTATCTTTCGCATTTAAGTTGCTCCATAAATTTTTAACTCTTCTCCCTTTCTTTCGTTCCTCTTCCTCCTCCAGCTTCTCCCTTAGTTCGATAGTTCCTCCTCTCCTGAATCAACGTTTACGAAAGTTTTTTTAAGCGAGAAGCCGGCAGAATCGGCGCTCTTATTATTACCATAAAACCGCCAACTGCCATATTTCATCGAGGCTGCTCGCGAAACAGAAGTAATCGAGTTCTTTCGTTTCGAGTATGATGTCTCGTAACAATGCCCCTGGCCTCTCGCTACTACCGCGTGGTAATTCCGCGTCTTATCGCGTGCCACTTTCTCCTTCTCCGAAAGAAAAATATCCCTTTGTATCAAGCCAGCGGTGGAAACTTTCCCGTTTCTCTTTGTTTCTTAAGCGATTGTGTCGTGCCTCTGGCTCTCGACCGCGAGCATCCCTCAGTTACCCTGTTTCCCGCTGCGCTACGTTTTCATCGATACTTTGGCCTTTTAGCTCGAACAATAGTCATCTTTGTACTACTTTGTACACAGTTGAACCAATTATCATTACATCTGGAGTAAAGTGTTTCAGTTTGAATTCAATGCACTTGTGGCGAGGAATTCGCGGCGCAAGAAATCGAGAAGCTGAAGGTTGAGACAGAAATAGCGTTTTATTTTAATTCCAATGTACTTTGAAAATCAGTGATGCTCGAGATCGAAATTACTGAGGGCACGATTCGAAAGTAAACGAAGCAAAAGTTGATAATACTAGAGTGTCGTAATTTAGTCACAGAAAATAATTAAACGAGACTGATTTAGTATCTCGTAAGGTGTAACCGAAGTAAGGAAAAAAGTCCAAGTGTTGTTTACGTACAAATTTCGATAATCGAAAACGGAGAAAAGAAATCTGTGGGCTTAGAGACGGAAAGGAAGCACTTCAGACGAATCGTCGCAACGCTATACATTATAACTGAAATTGATATTAAAATTGATATTTCTCAGAAACACCTTCGTCACAAGACGTCTCCTCGTTTCGCTCTCCTTCTGGACGTTTATTTATTTATCTAAATATCGGACGCGGATGGGAACGTTGGTTCCTCGTTAACGAAAACGAATTGAACAACAAGGGGTTGGGAGTGGGCGACGTTTCCTTCAACAGGGAGCGTAGATATACACATTAGTTTGCTATTTTACATTGTTCAGTAGGGAACCGTCGGCGCGCCGGCAAGTATGTCAGCCGGCGTTTCATAGGGGAGCGAACAATGGTCGCGAACAGACGCAGTGTGTAAAGTGACGATATAACCAGCCCCGAGTGGGAACAAAAGCGATGCGGGCATACTTGTTTAAAACGCTTATGTCGATGTCTCAATTGTACGGTTCTGCCTCCACCTCCTTCTGCTGCCAACCAGTCTCTCCCCCCTCCCCCTCGTCCCTCTGTCTTTTGCCGTTCTCCATTGCATTTTCCACCGGCCCGTTGCAAAATTGATATTTGCATTCTGCCGACGACCACGCCGAGATTACTCGTTTCTGTTCCAATTTCTGGCATCGCGTAAACTATTCGAACAGATAAACCGTGCATCCTCGACCGTGTCACGGCAATACACGGGCCGAGAGGAGAGGCGTTTCAATTCAATCCGAACGCATTTTCATGCATACACGTGTTATTGAAAAAGTTTCAACTTGCCCTCCTCCCCCTCCCCTTTGCCCCTTCATCCTCGATTTAGCCCGTCGCTGATTGTTTTAGTGCCATCGAAAAGTTTTTCGGAAGATAGTGCCGCAACGGTGGATCGGAAGGATCGAACGATTTTTTGAAATTCTGTTCTCGTTCGCCTTTTTTTTCGCGAGTCGTCTCTGTTAACCGATTTTGCCGAATGACTTACCATTGCGATATCAGAAACACGCGAGCGACGAGCAGGTTGTGAATTTTGATACGTTTATGCGGGAAATTTTCACGAAACCCGCAAGAATAAATATGTAAAACATTCGTGGTGTTTATATATCATTCGATGCGTGAAACGATTGTTTTTTTATAGAAGTTTGATTGTTTTAATTGTGTCCTTGAACGTATGAATTTGCATATAAATCTGAAGTTTAATGATCCATGATAATCGATGGAGTTTCTCAAATTAAATATATAAATGAAACGTTGCTTTAATTCCTTGGGATGTACTTGATGAAAACTATGTGCCACGTTTTCGATACTTTCTGAGTATTTTTGGATATTTTTCAATTCACCATGAAAAACGGAAATATGGAGATTTATGTGATTTGTTAAATTAGGGACTATTCTACTGTTCGTCTCCCTTCTTCATCACGTTTCATCTTTTCAGTTACTTTTCTTCTTTTACAACGTTTTATTCATAATAATTTAAAATATACCGAAATATTTTTTAAACTATAACATCCATACACACAAAGAGATACAACAAAGTTAATCTATTTTTTTCAGTTTTGATCGTTCTGTATCTTATATATTTAACAATTGGAATAATACTCTTTCCGTACATTTCAATGAAGTAAAATTTCTGTTCCAAAAGCTTGAAACTCTTTTCACTGCAAAAACGTTTCTCCAATGGATTTTAATCGGTGGATCAATTTAATCACTGAAGATTTACAATTTATCTTAGTACGGTAATATCTCCAGGTCGTTAAATGGAAGTATTCAAAATTTCGGCCGAAAATAGTGGAAATACACACGTATGTACATACGAAGAAAAGCCAGCAAGAAAGTTTACTCGTTACTTTTTCGACGCGCCAGCGCGAACTAGTTACTGGAGTGTTGGGAAGGGATGGAAAAAATTATGAGATTTTTCGTTGCGGAATGGAGAACGTTTTTTTTTTTTTTGCCTTTCTCTTCGAACGAATAGCGCTGACCACGAAACGAATATCGTTAGATAATGGGCGTTTAAAGCGCGAGCGAAAACCGGAAATAAGAGGGACGCAACATTCGCTAATGCAAATGCAAAAAGTTCCTGCACGTTTCACGCTGATCGTGCCTACTGTCTTCGATTACTTTCCTTTTCTAGCCGATAAATACAACCATGTTATTTTTTTTTTTTTTCTTTTCGTTCTCGTCTTTTCGGAGACAGGCTAGAGATACTCTTAATCCCTGGAATTGAAAAAGATGGGGAACAAGATTTCCTTGGAAGAAAAATAGGAAAAACTTTCGCGTAGTGGCGAGGAACATGCTTGAATTGCAAATTTAGTCGGTTCCTTTTTGGCTAGAATCTCGAAAGAATTTCATTTCTAGCATGGTTTCTGAGTCTTTTAGCCGTGTTTATTTAACGCTAGAATTACTGTATTTATTTGCAACAAGTATGCTTCACTGTGTATGAGTAGAGTGTATGATAGTGATGTTAATAATTGTGGATTCATCTTAACAAATATCTACACTCGTTTCGTCAAGACCAATTACACGCTTAAATAAAAAGAATTATGTAATGAATATAATAAACTACTAAATACAATGTATAATATAATATACTGTGTTCTTTAACATTTTTTCCATACAACGAAGAAATTATAAACGATAAATTAATTGAAAGAAGTTTCAGCTTGAATTCTAGTAATCATGAATAGTTTCTAATTATGTATCACGAGACTGAGAATGGATTTTTATTCGAATGCGTAATGTAACGTGAAAATCTCATAATTAATTTAAGCTTCAGTAATATGCTAATTATTAACTACAGACGAATAAAGGCTTATTTAGAAACATTCAAGAATCGAACGTGGATTTCATGGATCTACTTATTTAACTGACCTCTGAGAAACTGTAGAAACTGTTGAAATTCCAATCAGTCTAATTAGTTTGATCTCGACGATCGTCAAAGACAATCTCTCCGGTATTAAATCACGTTTCTAACTAAAATACAAACGCAAGGAAGCAGCGTGTTACATGAAAAGAAAAATTGATCTTCTATTTCTCTGTTGTGGCAGAAGATTGTGACGTACAATCTCGATCGGCTCTTTCTCTCTCTCGTTGTCGGATCGACTTTTATCATTCTGTTTAATCTAGAACGCGTACCAGCGAGCGTACCACCCCATGAAAGAGATCGGAATTAGGATTCCTCGGGTCCAATGGCACGCGAAGCAAAATCCTTGCATACCCGAGACCGTTTTCCTTTTTGGTAACTATCGATCAATTTAGGACGTCGATACTGATCACGAAGGACGAAGAATGTTAGGTTCGGATGGAAAGTATTTAGAGGCATTAGTTTCCTTTCGAACGGGAACAGCGGCTATTTGCTAATGTCAAGCAAAAGTCTTGGAAAGAAGAATTTATTAGCGTTTCGTTTCATTAATCGAAGTGCTCTGCGTCGAATGAAAAGTTTAAATTGTGACTTCCGTTTTGTATAATAATTGGCCTTCCTCTCGGTCGTTGAATGTCTATGTTAATGTATTCGGTCAATACTTTTTCACTTCGTGAAATAAAGAATATTAAGCTATCTCCATTTACTTTCTCACTTCGAGCAAACAATAGCTTGAAACCTGCTTGATATGATAATTAAACCTCTATGCAAATTCATATTTTCGAGAATATAATTAAAATGTAGAATGAAAATGGGCATTATACTTGGAATGTTTTTATAAACTTTCCGATATCACTCGCAGTCTGTGGAATTTTTACCATTTTAAGTATCATACAGATTTTTCAAAGTCCATGATCTAGCGACTCTTCGGGTGACGTTAATTTACAAAAACAGCAGTCAGAAATCGACTGTACTGACATGTCAAAAGAAAATATTTAAATATTTAATTGATTTGACCGAACGTTCAATATCTGTCGAAATAAAAATCGTTTATACCTTTCTCCCTTTTAATCGAATAAAAGTTGCGAGGCACCAAGATGAAAGACGAATTGCACGCTGCAAGTGTGAAAAGAAATAGTTGAACGATCGAATTTCGTATGCGTTGCCTGTGTAAGTCTGTCGCGTGGAGCATGCAAGTTTCCCATGCCGAGCCATAGCACGCGCTCTTAAGTTCGGCAACTAGTTCACAATCCCATAATCCCTGCTTGGAGCTTAGCATTCTCGTGGTGACGTGCCAATCGCTATTGAAAAGCAGGACAGAAACTCCTCTGTTCTCTTCTGTCCTAATTAGAATTTGGAGTTTTCCTGTCTGGAAGGAAAACTAAATTAAAGTACGAATACTCTCACGTGTCGAGCCGTTATTGCTGTGCTTTCACACTGTCTGTTCAAGTTTCGACGTGGTTCACTTGGCTGTGAACCATAAAAGAAATTATTTTCAATTAGTTTTACACATTACTTTCTCTTTTCTTTTCCCAGCGTTTGTAGAAACGCGCAGATTCATTTAATCTGATTTATATACAGTTACACTTGACAAGTTTTAAATTTTTAAAACAGAGAAAGGAGCGTTTTCGACGTTTACTGAATTTTAATTAATTTGTTAGCACTTGCAAAGTGTTGATAAAATTGATCAAACCTTGTGTGAAAGTCGTACTTGTTATCACTATATTATAAACTTTATTTTTATGTTTCAGGTAAGTGGAGTTCTGACGAAAGTTTTTCAAATTGCTGCCGTAAGTTTAAAACTTTTCATATTTATTTCTACTTAATTGTTAGTTATTCAGATTCTAGAATTACTAAAGTCATTGAAAATCATAACAGATCGTGCTAAACGTTGTACCTATTTTTCTAAAGTTACAAAATTTATGATTATTTTATTGGCAATCTGAAGTCGACACCTCGCATGTATAAACGATCAGATATAATCAAATTTGATTGATGTAACATCGTAAAGCATTAATCAGTTTTTCGTGCCTTTATATTATCAATAGACTGCGATTTTTTTCAGCAAATTCGTGCTTTGAACATGATTAAAAACATGAAAGAAAATAAGCATTCTATCTATTAAACATTCAATAACAAATAGTTGTATCTTTGGTATTTTCTTTTCTTGTGTATCACATTTTACACACATAAGTAGTAGAAAAGAATCAAGCAAAAAAAAAAAAAAAAAAACAACAAGAATCGAAAAATACTGAAAGATATTTTCACGTAGTTTTTAGTTAGCTCCGTAGACAAATTTTTATTAATTCGTCAGATTTCTTTTCGGATAAATAAACTTGACTCTTGATCGATTTCATAACCTCTCTACATTATTTGGATTATGATGCATGTGATTTTAGTACACGTTGGTGCATAATAAGTAATTTCATTCTATTGTTATCAATAATATGGTAATCGTCGATTTTGCATGTCACTTCAATGAAATATAATAATTCATCGCATTTAATCGATTCCTGATGTTTACCACCATTAGTTTCAACACAGACATTGAACTCTGTGATATCCATGATTTCCCTTTAGGTTTTATTATAATAAATATCCACGGATCTCGTTTTTGCATAGATATTTGCGTAATTGGTAAACAAATAATAATAATAAATCCGAGCTAAACTGTTCATTGTAATCGTATCGATACCTCTTTCAAAAGCATTCCGTCCGATTACATTCGAGTGCACTTTGTAGATTTCTGGTCGAAATACATTCATTCCTGATTTCTGATTATGAAAATGGACTTGTGGTACGATTTAACGCTTCTTCTCGGCTGATCTCACGTATTCTTTCTGGTAGAAATTGTAGAAAAGAATGAAATTTATAATTAAATTAATTATCGAGAAGCTGCCTGGTATCTTCGTTACAGGACAAGACGGGAGAAACGTTTGCACGTTTTGCATGAATAAAATTACAAACTGCACCTGGTATAACACGAGAGACACGAGAAAGTATTAGAATTGATTGAGCAGCTTGTTATTAAGTTTAATATTTATTACGTTGGCACATATGAAACGTCGTTTTCCCGAATAAAACTCTTGAACAAATACCTCTTTTAAAGAGTTAAGCTGCTGACTTTTAAAAATCGCCAATTTTTTAAAATACAAATATCAAAAGAATCGAATTGTTACAGCTTCTCTTCAAACGATCTCTTAAATATAATTACCATTTTTGTAAATAATTTGCTAATTGAGAAATTGTTCAAGTGAAATAGAAAACATCTTTTAATACATATGCAACGACTCTCATGAACGTCATTTCGAAATTTAAGCTCTCGTATAACACGAGAAATATTATCATTAATGTAAACAAATAGTAAATGAATGATCAATACTGCTGTTATAAATTATATAAAATAATCATATAGTAGGTAACTTTGATGCAAATATAAATAAATATTAAATATGTTGTGTCATAACGCAACATTGTTATTATTATTATTATTATTAATTATATATTAACGCAAAATTCAATGGATAGTATTAGTTTATGAAACGATGTTCCATATGCATCAACCTAATTATTACTCGTTTGCACTTACCATTTGCACGATGGTCAATATTGGTTTATACCTGGCCAATGCACTCTGAAACTTTGTCCCAAAAGTGCTAAGGAAATAATAAGTGTACATGATCACGTGTATACTACAGTTTAGCATCATAGTGAACGAAGTCATCGCGACTGGAACATATTTCGTCGTGAGCCAAGAGAGTAGGATCGTAGTCACATGATGATACACATGGAGAAATGAAATTTGTTTGTGTTTCTTCCTGAACACGAACACCAGCGTTTCCATGAGATCGATTAATTTTAGCATCGTTACCAACCACATTGTATAACTTATCTGCCATAACAAGAAAACTGAGGAATAATATTTCTGCGTGATTCTGACAAGTGAAAATTACATCGTGGATGTTTATGCACCTGTGGAAAATTTCAAGATGCAAAATATTTTGCAGGATGCACGCGACACGTGTCTAAATTTTGTATGAAATATTCATCAAATATTCACAACATTTGATATTAAAATATTTAGTAATATTTAATATTATTCTAATTACTATTAAATTATTATCAGTTAGTTCTCCATTCTTATCAGGTAAAATTGATAAACATTTTTTTATGAAGTGTACGAGCTCAATTCTTTATAAATTGTATCGTTAAACTGTCGCGTATTTTGCATTTTAATTTCTTTCTAACGCAAGTTTTATTCCGTAATCATCAATGGTTTATCGAAATGTGCATAAACATCTGCATTTTACTGATAAAAAAGAAAGTAAGAGGGGACCTTGAGAGAACTACGATTATACGAATAATCCGGTACTTCGCAGTACACGGTTATTTCGGTGAACCAGCCTGCACTGATGAACTGTTGCACTATGAACGCATTGACGACAACTTGAAAGACGTTGTAGTATCTCACGAATGTTTTTAAGTTGTACGGTTTCCTAGTTTCCATGAATTCAGGACCACATTTTAAGACGACGTACAAGTATAAAAATAGGATGGAAGGAATGATGATTGGCGATCCGATAAATGGCAAATCGTTTGTTCTTGGATCTGAAAAATTCGAAATAGAACTTGTTTTGTAGAAAGCGTAGATCGATTTTGAAAATTTTGTGTTTTTTCTGTTCACTCACCGGCATTCCGATTCCAATAAAAATCGTAAATATCGACTAATTTTATCCCTGACATTTTCTTCAGTTTCTTCAGTTTAATACTCTTGAATTTTAAATATCTTGTTCCAAAAATTAGGACAATTACACTTTTTGTAACGTAACTTCTTACATCGATTGATGTTAACTACTCGACGACCATCGTCAATAGGTGGTTTTATAAATGCAAGGAATATATATATATAACTATTGTTTCATGCAAACATGCTCATGTATATATACATATTTACGTCTTTAATAGACATGTGTAGCTATAGTAATTTAAAGCACGTGCGTCCTTGTGGTCAGTGGAGATCAAAAGGTTAGCACGAGTGGTAATCATTTATCTGTTTCCGAAAATAAAGTGACAAAATGGAGAAATATTTCCATTTAATTTTTATAATATAATATAATTATATTATAATTTTTATAATATAATATAATTTAATATTCCGTAAGTGAATTGTTGGTTGAAATTTTGATCGCTAGTCGGGAACATCATAGACAGAAATTATCAATAATCTATAAGATTACTTAGAGAAATATCGTCACTTTTTTCGAAATCAACGTAACATCATTAAATTTTTTACAACATTTTATTAATCAATATTGAAGCTACTTATTTAAATTTTTTATAAATTATTCATGAAACGTGTAAAATTCTCGTTTTCCTTCGTCTATTATCTGACGTTGAGTATGCAAAGTGTATGAACTTGCGTCACTGACTGTATAATTTTATTTTCTAACAATATTTTATTTTTCTAACAATACAGAATTTTCGTGCTGCTTACATTCTCAATTGTTTCCTAAAACTCAGTCTTCTTCCTTCCATTCTAAAATAGGTCCGAACTGTAAAACGGTGAGTCCACAATCTATTCCCACCGATTAATGCATTATTCGTGTTTCATTAAGACTTCTACTTAATGAGTTATTTAACGATATAAATCGGTTACGTACGAACGCTTCTTGGAAACTCGATAGAGAGCCAATGGATTACGGGCGGGGGGAAGCTCCGAGCGAAGAAATAATCGAAAAGTTAGCTCGAGCTCGTAGCTCCAGTTCGCGAAACTCTCTGGAGAACATATTAAGTATCGCTGATTAAGATGGCTCGATCGAAACGGTCAGAAGGGAATCGATGCCGATTCGACTGCGGCGGTTTCCTCCGTGCAGCCGTGGAACGCCCCTTAAGATCGAAGAAACCCTTCAAACGATAATGAAAAAAGTTCGGCTTCGACTCTACCCCGTCTCGTTGCAAGTCGATGCAGATGTGTATCGATATTTTTGTTTCGTATATCTTGCAATAATCTCGCGGCTTCGGTCAAACCTCGGCGAGACGAAACATTTTTCCATGACGAAGTTATGGCGACTCGATAGTCGAACGTGTCGTGTTGTCTGTCGGAGCTCGAGCCGCTGAGAGAGTGTCGAGGCGCAAGAGCAAATCCAAACTTGTGTTCCTTCGCTCGATCCACCCTGAATTTTCAATGCTGAAACATCGAAAGTTAATATCGGGATGTTATCTTTTGACGAGGTTACCACGCTTCTTCCTTTGATCTTTTCAACTTCAACATTTCCAATATTCGATCTGAGCTTTGTCTCGAGCGTGATGCTACTTTGGCCAGCGTGGAAAGTTGCAAGAGGTTGCGAGCTTGGCTTGAAAGCACTATTCCTCCACGGGATCATCAGTGGCACTCTCGGTGATCCTAATTTGTCAGAATTAATTTATTTCAACTCTTCCATTTCTACAACTCTTTCCTCCTACCAATTCCAATTCGAACTCTATCCGCAATTCGTACTTTGCCCTCGATATTTTCATTGCAAAAACGATCTCTCCCGTAGCAAAATACAAATTTAAAACTATAACGTGAGATCAAGAGTCACACGACCAAAATTGACTTGAAAATTTCACACTGAAAGTTGAAACCAAGCAAGTGAGTGGAAACATTTAGGAAACAGTTTCGAGGTCTATAAAAATTGTCGCTAGTCGCAGTCAGATCCTGTCAAAATCTGGCGTTCTGTCGTCAGCTGAATTTTCAAACGGCGAAAGTCAAACACCGAAAGAGATCCTGTTCACTCGCGTTCCTTTGATCTTCCAAGCTTCTCCCAAGAAACTTCGACGTTCGATGCAAGCCCTGTTCTCGAAGACGACGCAACTTCGTCGGGCCTGCGTGCGAAGTTGCGGGGGGGGGGGCGGGGGGGGGGGGGGGGGTTTGAATCGGTGGAGCCTCGGTTGAAAGTTAAAGAGAGGCCAGGCCATGAAGTGGCAATCGAAGCAGTTGGGATAGAGCCGGCCGTTCCGAGGCCATGAAGTTGGTAGAGGGATGTATTAAGCATCGCTAATCGAGGTAGTTTAGTCGACGGGGATGCTGGCAGAGAGTAGAGTGGTAATGTCGGTCGGCGGCAGGGGTTGCCAGAGCGGCGGGGGAAGAGCATTAGCTGCCTCCCCCTCCTCCCCCTCCCCCCCTCCCGGAGCTTCTCGCTAAGTGCTGCAATTTATTTTATTACTCTGCGCGCGTCTACGTTTGGAAACCTTTGGTCGGCGCTTCCATTCACGGCGAAAACACCCGATAGGTCGCGGGGAACGTAATTTACACCCGAGAGCTGGCGCGTAGAGTCGCGGTGGGAGCCGCGCTGAAGAGAAGAGAGAGCGGAGAAGAAAATGTATCGAAAGGCAGATCGAAAACAGAGAGTCGTTCCGTTCGGTTGTTGTTGACACTTCGTTTCTGTCGACACGCGTTTCAACCGTCTCTCCCGTTTCCGCCCGGAGTCTGATCTGATTTTCCTTTCGATTGTTTCTTGATTTACAGCGCCGAGATTCGACGGACGCTCGGGGACGAAACGTGCCCGCGCGCGTAGGAAATTTTTGCGAATATGTTATACGTTATACGAGGCCGCGCGACGGGGCAAGCGGTATGTTTAAAGCAGCACGAGGGCCAAATAGCGGAAGAGGGGGTTTGCGCGTGACAGAACAAGAGCAAGCTGCTCGAAGGAAAACGCTAGAGTTGCCCGACCGCCGTGCAATTGGACTACGATTCATTGTAGGATTATCGTATTGCCCCGCGACACGTGAAATAATTCCGCACGGTTATTATGATATAAATCCGGCGCGGTGGTTGGTGTTTCCCGCTCATGAAGTGGACTTAAACGCGACTAAACACGATCCGAGCACGCTGTTTAAACACGGCGCAGTTTGTTCGGCGTTTAAACGCATCGTGAAGCTTTACAGAATAATTCTCATCCCGCGTATTTATGGCCAATATTTCACACCGACCCGATCGGCCCAGCCTTCTGTTGGCTAGCTTCATTGCTCCCTAGAAATTCTTCTTTATCATCGTTTTCGACAGTTTCGATTCTTAAAAGATAGATTTCGTTTCTAGCTGTGAGAAAAAGTTTGGAATTTTATGCAGAATCGGTGCTAATAAAATGATTCGATGATGACGTAGACTTCCTTTGAATGTAATACGATTTCTGATTACTATGGATGTAAATTATTTTATTTATAATTATTTAAATTGCGTTGTTACACTGACGAAAGTGATTTCGTTAGGAATTTTCAGATCTTTGCGAGTACATAATTAATTTCGTAGATAGAAATGCACGAATTCGATTGATTATAATAATTAATAGATGAAACAAATTTTCATTTGTATCGTCTCTTTGAGATATTGCATAGATATCTGCGGTTTAACCATTATTTGTGACAAAGAAACTTGTGGAAGTAACTTACATATTTGTTCTTCGGAAATAGAATATTAATCGCGTACTTATAATTTGATTACTGTACTTAGTTGATCAGTTTGGTTTCTGAGAGGCTTATACAACTACGCGTTTTAGTATCGCCGGAAAGTTTATCTAGTTAACTAGAATCTCCTTGAATTATAGATTTTATCATTTATTTTAGCCTCCCGGTTGTTGATACTCGAAATTTACTTTAAAATCATTATTAGTATTATTTACGGAATATTATAATTCTGCATACTTTCATATTACAAGTTTTTTTAGCCTCCTGTCATATTTCTGGTACGAATTATCACTGTTAGTTTCGATTTAAAAGAACCAACTTCTATGCAACTTGTATTCTAAATTTAAATTTCGATTTCTCAAGTTGAAGATCAGTAAGTACAAATTTCACGTAATTTCTTTTCAATATTTCGCACCTAACTCGATGTAATAAATTACAATAACTTAGTATAGAAAGGAAATTGTAGCGCAAAGAATAAAATATGTCTGTAAATAATAACTTTATCATATATGTCAGACACAATATTGAAACGTTATCTTTAAATGACATCGCTAGTACAGACGTTGCAAGTTTCCTCAAACGTATTTATTCCATTATTACTACTAATATTCCATTACACTGGAATTTCGTTCCGTACATTCAAGATTCCGATTGTTTCAGAACGAAACCCTATTCCTGCTTCTCGCACTTGCACAAAACGAGCGTAACGACTATTTGGAACGCAACACAGCAAATTACACTGCGCAAACCCCCGTGTCTTTATCATTTTCGTTCTCTTTTTTTTTTTTTTTTTTTTTTTTTTGTAATTCCCGCGACACAAAGGATTCGTGGCCATTTTCAGAATTCCACCGTGTAACGATTACGTCGAATGAAATTAGAGACCCGGTTCCGTTATATTCCGATGCGCCGTTCATCGACAGACAGTATCGAAGGGTAACGCGAAACGATTGTAAAAACAGCTGACGCAGAACACGGCGTCGATTTAAATGTAATGCGACGGCAGAGTCAATAAAAATGAAAATGGCGTTCGCAGCAAGGAAACGTTGGGAAATCGTCGTGTCTATCTCGGTGCTCGGCCTAGAAAGCCCGCCGTTCCGATAGAAATAGAAAACAAAAATAGGAAATTACCATAACGATTGCCAATGCTTGTTGCGAATCGATCGACAGATTTTCTGAATATTTCACGTAGTAGTGTGCTGTACACGTACACACGTACATAGACTGCTATTGTTCGTCGTGTTTCAAAATATTCCCTGTTCTTCGGGGATAATGGCATTAAATAAAAAAAGGAATAATTAATCAGTCAGAAACTAAATTGCTAACTGTTCGAATTTATTTACTTGCAAATTTCAATGCAGTGTTTTTTTTTTTTTTTTAGGTAAAAATTAATTTTTCTGAAAAAAGATACTTTCCGCTCTTGTTTGACCGTTTGAGCAATAATTCAAATTTGATTCTACTTCCCTCAAATACTTTCTATGCATTAAATAATTAATAGTTTTTATAATAACTTACTGATGAACCACGATATCGATGAATATACAAAGTGAAATTTGCCAAATGTGGATGTATGGATGTGTGAGTTTCAAGTGATATTAATAATGGGAAAAAATGAATTTTCGCTTTAAGAGTTTTGTCATTTTTGTTCTTTGAAAAAGAAGGATCGATTATTTAATTTATTTTAATTTGATTATTTAATTGAAGAGTGGATCATTTTATATATCGTCGTAACTCACGTTCGTCTCCCATCTATTTGACAATTAATTCATGCTTTTGTTGCCGAATTTTTCAGTCTTCTTGTGGAAGTATTTTTGCGGTCTATCTGCGCGTGCTGCGAACATTTTTCCTGTTAAAAAAAATTGCGTAAGGATTAAAACGAACTACCAATCTATCTGAAAAAGGCTGTCAGAGCTGCCTTTGTAGTAAATTCTATCGAACGCTCGTGCAAAGTGCAATTCCAAAAGTATACTTTGTATATAGAACAATATGCCAATAACCTGTTCAAAAGCAGTTTTCTCGGCGCTTTTATGGTTTATAATGTAGTTTGCAAAATTATTTACATACGGCTTCTATGATTAAAATAAACATAAAATTCGGCATCTGTAATTTATCCAAATACATACACCTTCGGTTTAAAATTTGGAGCACCGTTCTCACAACGAGACATATACTTCTTCGCGCTAGTTTTTTCTAAAACTAACCCGTTACTTTTAAATACAATTAATTAAAGTTTCCGTATCGTAAGGACATGATATATTTTACGAATAAAATATTTCTTCACTTCGAGAAGTCATTGTTTCCTTTGAAATCTCGACGAATTTTCAAGGTTTTAAGCAGGACTTTGAATAAATCTCTAAATAAATGCAAAAAAAAAAAAAAAAATATCTGAGAGTAGAATTTTTCTGAAAACGACGCGAGCAATAATTTTTCGGTGTAACTGATTCGTCGTAGAAAAAAGACGAACGGGGAACGTCCGTGAAGATCGAAATCGAGCAGAATCGGTTAGCACAGGGGGGAAAGGTACGAGCGCAAGCCCAATTGATTTCGAAAACGATTTCCCAAAAACGATTTGGATCGCTGGTAAACCCAGGGCTCCGGTTGTCGAAAGTAACGAACAAGTGGAACAAACGGTTCTAGCTAGAAAAAAGCCGCGGAGTCAGAGGAATTTCACCAGACGGCGCTTTTTTTTTTAATTTACCACCGTTTCACGCCCATTACTCTTATTCTTTTTTTTTCCCCTCCCCTTCACCATTTTTCTTTCTCCCTCTCTCCTTTTCCGTTCGGTGTTTCTCTCTTTTTTTCCCGTTCGAAAAGAAAAAAAGAGAAAAAAGAAAGGGAGGAGAAATATCTGCAATTCAAAACTTAATGCTTGGTTTCTTAATTAAATAATTGAAAGGTAGCGTGACGCAGACCGAGCAAACCTATCAATTACACGCTCGATTGGTCCGAGAGGTTTGTATCAGAATGTCAGTCCCACTGTCGCAGATACAACCAACGAACGTATAACGAGAACAGAGAGAGATTGGAAAACAAGGATTGAATAGAGAGAGGGAGAGATCCGAAGAGAAAAGGACACCGTTGAGATCGCGGGAGAGGGATGGTGAAAAGTGGATGCAATCGACATGGTTAAAATTTTGCGAACAATAGGGTCGAATAATTAACAAGAGGAGAAACGAGAATATAGAAAAACTTTGGTAGAAATGATAACAAGATGAATATTGATTAAGAAGAATGAAATGTTTACAATGAAAATATATATGAGGCAACAAAGAAGAAAATAAGAGGATAGTTTGATTTGGTAAATAATAACACTGAATATTAATAAGAAAGCATGATTTTTACAACACGAGTACTAAAAATGTAAGGAAACGAAACGGCTTTCGTTTAATAAATAATCACGATAAATGTTAGTAGGAGAAAAAAAAATATAAAAGAACGGAACAGCAGAATGAATAATAAAGCAATAGTTTCGTGTAACAAATATCAGCAACAAAATTTTCACAGTATAAACACCGAAAACGAAGCGAGGAAACGAAGTATCAGAAAGAAAAATATAACGGCGGGATGTGTACAAAGAAAAACAGAGGACCGTGCGAATAGGGTTAAAAACTCAAATACCATACACACTCTCTCTCTCTCTCTCTCTCTCTCTCTCTCTCTCTCTCTCTCTGTCTCTCTGTATTTACTTCCCTTTCGAAACAACGAAAAAGTATGTTTTCGCAAATAAAAATGACGCAGGAAGGAAAATAAGAAAAAAAAAAGAGAAGGCAGTTAGGGAAAAATAAATCGAAAAGAGCAGAGAAGACGTACAAACTAGAACCGAGAGAGGAGAAACAGGTAATAGTGGCGTAAAATTCAGTGAACAGCGATGCAAAGAATGAAATAACACGGGAAGCATTATGAGACAGAGAGAAAGAATGCTGGGCCAGATAAGAGGGGGGAGGGAGAGAGTGAGTGAGTGAGTGAGTGAGTGAGAGAGAGAGAGAGGACAGAGTGGTGGGCCGGTGAGGTAGAGGAGGACGAAGGAACGGAGGGATCGTCGTGGCGTTTGCGCCTGGGGTTGTCGAGGACAGCGCGAAGAGGGTGTGCAAGGGTGATCGGCGTAGGTGGCGGCGCACGGAGGGTGGGAGGACAGGGAAAGGCGTGGAATTGGTGGAGGCAGTCAGTGGCTCGCCGCGCGCCACAACGACCGTCGGATCTAGCCGTTGAGTTTTTCCACTTGTTACCGTATCGTGCTCTCGTCCACCTCGTACTGTACCTCTCCGCCTCTACCCCTGCCGTTTTGCCTTTTTTTTCCTTTTCCATTTTTTTCGTTCGCTGGCCTGGGACCGTGGACCAGCGTCCGGCCTTGCGGTCCGCGCGAGAGCTCGAACCGGACACCCGGAGTTTCAGGATTCTGTGATCTGTGATCTAGTGCCTCCGGCTGTCGACTGATTCTGATTCAGTGCTTCTGGAAGATGAATGCGTCGTCGGTCGTTGAAAAGTGTGAGAATTAAAATTGCGTTGCGTCCCGATCGGATGTAGGATGTAAAAGCGAGTGGTAAAATATATGATATACCGTTGATATGTTATTCTGTGAGTGAAAAAAGAAAAAGAAAAACAAGGGAGGAATTAAGAAGTGAGACACACACACACACGCGTGTTCCTCGGATATATCTTTCTGCCTCTGGTTCTCTCCTCCCGGCAGAATTGCGACGTCTTGGTTCGTTTTCTACGTGTTTTCTGTGAATATAAGCTGATGTAAATATCCTTCGCACGAGAACGAGGTCCGCGCGTACTTTTTATAAAAGTTCCGCGTCGGATTATACATATTTCGCAGCCGGTCTCTCGCTCAGTGCACCGGCTCCTTCGGCACGAGAGAAAGAGAGGGCTTAGGCGTTTCGTGTGACCGAAAGTGTAGCATGGCTTAATCCGAAAAATTATAATTGCAAATTCGAAACCGCATACTTTCGCGCGGCTGTATTTTGAATACATTATACAAATTGAACGTGGCCATAAGCCTTCCTTACTTCCGCGGAATTTCATAACTCGCACGCCGCGCCGGCTTCGGCTCTTTCCGACTTTCTATTATTAAAGTGCGCCGACCGACGACGTTCCTCCGCTCCGCCATCGACGACACGCACCGTCGGCCGCCTTTCGATCCTTGCTTTTTTCCTCCCGATTCTCGCTCTCTGAAACGCTGAAAGCTCACCACCTTTTTTTTGGAAAACGAGTTCGTGAACGCGACAAGTTCAAGAGAAATTCGGAGATACCGGTTAAGGAACGACGGATCCTCCCACGAGCAGAGAACAGAAAACAAAAAAACGTGAGAGAGTGGGAATAAACGCGAAGGCTCCGCCATTGTGCGAAACCCAGACGAATTACGGTGTAATTAATCTTCTCGATCGTGAAAAGCTCGACGATGGGAAGTACCTCGGGAAATTTCTCGGATTACGCAGGGTGCTGCACGTTCGCCGATGTTAATTCCTTATCACCGCAAGAGTTTTAATCAAAACGCCGTGATCTCGTTCGGTGCAGAAAGTATTTACATCCATTTACATCCGTCTGTTTACGTGACCAGTGTCTAACTAGCCGACTCGGACTTGGCCTCCGCCAAGTTCTCACGGAACGTTCTCCACGGATCGTCAGCCAGTGTTCACCGCGGAGAATTTTCGAGGGATGTTACAGATTCTACGTTGAACGCCAGCGAGGGAGCACGCCGCTCGAGGATTCTGGATTACCAACGTGCGCCATATTTTCATCGAGTTTTCACTGTTGGCCACTCGGTGTGAAAAAAAAAAGACGCGTTCGCCTGTGAACAATCGGCCGTGAATCGAAAGCATGGATTAATTCGCGGCTGAATGGGATCGCCGCCGGTGCGTCCGACCTCTCTCGTCGATCGTAGTATCTGTTGTCCGAATTTCACCAGTCCCTTTTTCTTCCTTTTTTGCTTTCGATCGTCGTTTCTCCCCCCCCCCCCCCCCTCCATTTTTCTCTATGTCTTGCTGTTCTTTCGACGAGAAGCTCAAGTGAAAAGTGAAACAACGTTCAGCTCGTCGACGTTCGTCGGCCGTCCTCGATCTTGGGATAATAGTGTTATTATAGGTCGCTTTGTACGCCGCGATGATTCGCCTGTTTCCTGCTTGATGAATCTCCACGAACTTCAAAGGAGGTAACGTAGCACGCGCATCACCGGGCAAATTCTTTCGGAGGAGGATCCTTCTCTCTCTTTTTTTCTGTTCTATTCGTGTATTTTATTTTTCTACTTTCTACCTTTTTCCCGGTCTCTCTTTGCATTGCTCGTCCTTCGCGCGAGCACAAAGGAAAGCGATTTTTACACCGCCGCTGTTGTTTTGTTGTCGATCCCTCCTAGAGTACTGAAAATTGCTGGCACTCGTCGAAACGAAAAATGGTTTTTCCACGACCATTACCAACCGAATTGGGAACAAATGTGATCGCACGTTGGCGCGCTCACGTTTGCCCGGTAAATGAGAGAAAGTGGAACGTGGATCCTCGCACGTTTTTTTTTTTTTTTTTTTTTTTTTTTTTTTTTTTTTTTTTTTTTTTTTTTTTTTTTTTTTTGTTTTCTACTCCACCAGTCTCTCGTTGCCGCTGTTAGGATAGGTTGAACTCCATGGGGCTTGCCAACGAAGCATGGGAAAACGGTCGTTCGTTACCGCCACCGCTACATTCGTTACGTTCGTTACGTATATATATATATTTCTTTTTCCCGCTCGCTGCCTAACAAAAGAGAAGACCTCTTCGTTTTCGACGATTCATTTCTATCGAACGAACTTTGGTTAAGGTTAAAGGTACGTAACACTTACGACATAGATGTGGCAAATTAGGAATTTCTAAAACATTTGGTCACGCGGAAAACCCGAAACTAGACGTCCTATAAATTTGGTCAGTCTCAATTGTGACGAGATCTTTCACACCAGAGGGTTTTCATGTTATAAACACATACTTGGGGGGATTATGCAGGCAACAGGATAATTTTGGTAACGTAATTATTTCCCCATACTTTCTGATTGATCTTGACACCTCTTCCGCTCCACAACTCTTTAGAGTCTTTTAAAAACGGCGATCCTTGTTAGAAAGGAGGAAAATTACAAAATTTGAGAAAATCAGGAGAGTAATCAAAAAGAGTGATTTTTGAACATAAGAACACAAGGTAGAACAGAGTGAGAACATTAGTCAATATTCGGTTAAGTGTATCTGTCGTCAGTCATTGGAAAAGCCAAGCTTCTTGACTCGAGTATAAAAACCACCGGGTTTATCGCGTAATAAACACAATGCACACCCACCGAGTTATTCGTTTTCTACAACGATTAAACCCCAAAGATACACGACACTTAACCTCTTGCGCTGGAATGACGTGCCACGCACGTCGAGAATTTTTTATTCCAAGATCGTAATATTTTTTCAGCTTTAAGTATATTTAAGTAAAACAAAATAGGCAAAACAGAAAATGATGAGTGTGTTACTTCTCAATAATTTCTATCCAGTAATTCTATCTCAATAATTTCATACCGACGAGTTTCAAAACGAGAGCGACAAATCATCGTATACGGTCTGGTTGCTCGTTATGGTCCGCAATCGGTTGCCAGCGCAAGTGGTTAACAGTCGACCATCGCGAATGCCCGCGCGAGAACAGCTGGACGACGAGGAAGCATCTCGTTCGGGGGTTTCGTTCGCGAAAATTTCGTCATCCTTTCGTACGTCCTTTGGTTGTAATATCCATGCTAAAATCGTCTGGAGGAACACGGCGTGGGACAGGCAAGGAGCCTTAATTTCCGGCCAACGAGTCGCGAGACGATCCCGCCGTTGGGTATATCTGCCGGAATGCACAATAACAGGATGCAAATAACGAAGTTCTCCGCGCTTCCTCTCTCCTTTCATTTTCGACGACGGTTTTATCGAAAGCGCGAAACAAAGAGGCCGTTTGTACCGTGTCCTCCCTTATTCTGCTGCGACTGAAGCTCACCGAACACCGTAAAGAAAATAACGCGAAGGCCCGAGCAGAGGTTTCGAGCCGGTGTTACCTTATCCGGTTTCGCGTTCCGTTTCTCCTCGAACCACGGTTCCTCGAGCACGGTGACTCAGTTCCCTTTCATCCCTCCGTTTCGAGTAATTCTCGCCCTGCCCCTGTAACCGAGGCCCGGCGGTTCTGCCTCTGCTTTTCGCGAACGGAGGCTAAGCAGCGGTTTTCATTTCCTGCGAGAAGAATCCCGCGACAGCGTCGCGGCGTGTCGGGTAATGAAAACGCGGCCGACTGACTGACGTGAATCAGACCTCCGCAGAGTAACCGTGTTTCGTCGAAGGAACGCAGTCTCTTTTAACCCTTTGCCTTTGTTGCCTCCTTTCCAAGCCACGTTACACGGCTCCGCCTTTCAGCTTCGTGTTCTTAGATGGGTTTTCTCGAGGCACCGAGTAAACCTCCCGTGATTTTCTTTTATATCGTGTTCTGACAGTTAATTATTTTGCTAGGTCGTTCGATCAAAAACGAACGAATTGATTGATTGGTCAAAGGTCGATTCAACGATGGATTTTAAACAACTGGTTGTTTGATGAAAAGTTGTCTAATGCGAACGAGGGGTGATTAATTATTAACGAGAGTAATCGTGTTTCGTCGAAGGAACGCCATCTCTTTTAACCCTTTGCCTTTGTTATCTCCTCTTCGAGCTGCATTATACGCCAGCTTTTCAGCTCCACGTTCTTTCGTGTCTGAGATGGATTTTCTTAAGACACGAGTAACTTTGCGTGATTTTTTTTTTTTTTTTTTTTATATGTAACATCGTGTTTTGATAGTTAATTATTTTACTAGGTCGTTCAACCAAAAATGGAGGAACTGATTAATTTTGATTGTATGGTAACTATTAGTTATTCGACGAAAAGTTATCTAACGTGAACAAGACGTGTCAAACCCGTGATTTGATAATCCTGAATGCAATAATTATTAACGAGAGATGTTTCAACTCTTTGCCTTTGTTGTCTACTACTTTTTCGAGTTCGAGGCGAGACACACCTTCAATTCCACGAACTTTGATTTTGTTGTTGCTTAGTTATGGCTAGTGCAGAATATATAAAGAGATTTTTACATTTTTCGTTAATTTTTTTCATATATTGGATCGATATAAAAACAATTTAAATTGACAAACAAATCAAACATCAAATTAGATTTTGTTATAATATCGCTGATATCACCTCATTATTTCATCAAATTTTATATTTTAAATACGAAATTAATTATTTCCTCAAACGAAATAAACCAAATTATACTCTGAAAACGAAATAACATTTCAGATAGTTATTTCAAACAGTGACTAGGTTTGCGTTCTACAAACATTCATGTGATTGATAGAAATTGGTAAATTTATTGATTTTGTCCACTGATCGATGTAATCTTTTACCGTTTCGCAGTAGCTCGATAACTAACGTACTAATATTTACAGAATCAACTATAGTTGAAACGACTGGATGTTGAAACCACCGATAGACAAATTAGTTGCTTTTGAACGATTAGAACTCGGATCGACTCGGTCGTTCAACCAAAAATTGTCTAATGCAAACAAAGCTCAAAGCCAATTGCAGTTGAAACGATCGAGTCGTTCAATCAGAAATGAACGAATAGACTATTTCTAATTCGTAACGAACGATTGCAAGTCGTTCTAAATTGGTTAACGCTGAGTTCACATGGACGATTTTGAACAACTGAATGATTCTCACGATTATTGAAAAAAAAATCGTGTATATATATATATATATATATATATATATATATATATATAAAATATATAAAATATATATTATGTTTGTTAACAATTTAAAATTTAAAAGAATCGTGTATATATATATATAAAATATATTATGTTTGTTAACAATTTCTGAGAAACATATATATATATAAAATATATATATATATATATATATATATAAAATATATTATATATATATAATACAGTACAAGGAACAGTAAGACACAAAATAAAAGTAATCAAAACTTATAATGCAAGAAAGTACAGACTGTACTTTCTTATAATTCGAGATGAAAGTAACAGAGCAACGAAGGCTGGATGGAAGAGTGTCCACTGCGAAACGAATTTCAGATGTGCCAAATCCACGGCCGAATAATTCCAAATGGAATAATTAGGTTCCTTGCCCGTCGAATGCACTTTGGCACGCTTTCTTGCCGGCCTGTCGTTTTAAAACGCTGGATAAAACTCGCTGGACGAGTGCTCCGTGTGCTTCAACCGCCATGCTACCTTCACAAAAGGCCGCGTGCCCTTAACAACGCATTCATCCACGAGTGTTTTGCATACAAGGGAAATTGCTCGGGCGAGAGAAAGAAGAAAAAGCGAAATAGAAAATAGAAAACCGCGCGAAAAAAAAAAAGAAATTGAAAATCAAAGGGTGCGCAAGTGATCTCCAGATTTCTCTCCTTTCTTTTCTGTTTCTTTTCCTTTTTCCGCCTCGGTGTCGCGAGTGAATTCGTCGAACCTGCCCCGTGGAAAATTGAAAAAAGTTCTCGAACGGCGTTTAACCTGTTGAAACTCGTGAATGCGTCATATTCATATTCCGGTACGTGTTTCATTAAATTAGCGGAAGCCACACGGAATCGGTAACACGGCGACGAGACGACGGCTGAAATATTTATGAAGTGCGCTCTCGTCGTTACGCCTGGCGAACGGCGGTCCCTCCTTCTCCTCCTGTTCCGTGTTCCCTGTCTGTTGCGTCTCAGTCGAAAGCGCCCTTTGATTCCCGTCACGATCTGTCGAACGAGACGACTCAACGGCCGGGATTGCTCGTTACCAGACTCTTCGCGTCGAAATTCGCGTCGTGAAAAACCGATAGAATCAGCCGGTTCGATCTAGACGGTGTCGGTGGGAAAGGGACGTGAAACGTGTTGCTTCGCACGTCGTCGAGGAAGCAGAGAAAAACAGAAATGGCGGGAGGGTTGGAGGGAGGATGAAAAAGAAGGAAGTGGAGGATCCGAAGGAGATAGCCACTCGTTGTCGATCGCGATGATACAGACGATCAAAAGTGAAATTTATTTGAACAGCAGCGAGAAGGACGAGAGAAAATGAAATACATAATGGAACGAGTGGTGTTGAACGAATTCTTTGAATGCTACTGATTTTGTTCTTCGTTTTTCAAGAAACACAGCCAGTC